AAGGAATATTAAAATGATGAGTCTAATAACTACAAATGAATCATATAAGCTCTGAGATATATGTTGCAGTGACACTTACGCTCAGTGCTGTGAAAAGAGAATTAAAATTGTTACCCTAGCATCAATAATCCTTGGATTTGACTTTAAACAAGCACCTCCTCCACATGAAATAATTAAGATATACAAGGCCAGGCACAGAACAAGGAGAATTCTGTAGGCAGTCAGATTGGGTTTCTCAAAGTGACTAATGGCATTCCACAAGGGGTCACTTTTGTTATGTGAAGGTGGGGAAGAACTACGAGTTTGGATTAAAGATGAAACAATATATTCAGCAAATGAAATAAACATAATAAAACTAGTTGAAGACAAACAACAGCAACTCAGTGCATTTAATGCCCATGAAGTTAGATGGAGTCTTTAGCATGCACAGTAAAATATGTAAAACAGGTAATTTATACTGTCTGGATTAAGTTTCTAAATTACATTGCAAACAAAGCCAATGAGCTCTGAGTGATGTCACAGTCATTAATGGGGCTTCTTTCCTGGACAACCTCACAGGAACTCTCCTCTGTACTGTCCAGTGACATTAAACATGCAAGTTGCTGCAGGAAGTTCTGCAGGCCAGGCATGGTCAATGTTGTATATTGGGTTGTAGATATAGATCTTGTTGTTATGGTAACTGAGTAGGTCACTGGGATCAGCCCAGCTATTCTGGGCTTGTTCTAGTGAGTTCTGTGCTATGCAATAAAATGGACACTTGCACCTACTCCAGCTCTCTGCCTTTCCACTGATTTCTTCCTATGCTGTGAAACTCTATTTGACATAACAGTCAATACCCTGCCTTCTGGGGCAATTGGTATCGTCAGAGTTTCTGGTATCTGGGTGACACTGTGGCGCTAGTGAGGCCTAGTTATTCTGTAGCTGGCACCATGTGGATTCTCTCTCCAGTTCATCTCAGCCAACCCTGTACCCCAGTCCAGTAACTTCTCCCCTATAATGATGTCAGATACATTCCCCCTCCTTCATTCATATTGTCCCTTTGCCAATAGAGGGCTTGTGGCAAAGAGTAGGACATGACACACTCCCCAAACATGTGTCTCCTTGACAACTAGACACCTGTGGGTAGCCTGTAGTAGATGACCTGGGCTCTGGTTGCGGGGCTATTTCATTGCTGTGTACATTTCCAGTCTTGGGCTGGCACCCCAGCTCTGGGACCCTCCTGTCTCACAGGGTTCTACACCCTGAGCTCCAGACTGAGCCCAGAATCTAGCACAGCACTGAAACAGCCCCACAGCCCTAGCTCTGCAAGCTCAAGTCGGCTGGAATGGACCAGTTGCGGGTGACTAGTTGATTAGGTAGCCATACCCAAGAGCCTCCGCTACCCTAATATATATAAATAAAGATGAATAAAAAATATTCAGCAAGTAGTTTATTTTCTGGAAAATATATTTTTGATTGACCTAAAACCATCTGTATTGTATTCAATGAACAGTTCTGAATTGAAATGTCAAAATGTTTTGGAAATGTTGAAATTAAATGTTTTGTTGTAACCTGGCTTGACATTATTTTCAATACACTGAAATTTTTGAAAAATACCATTTTTAGTTTGTCTCAGAAAGATTCCTTTTTTGATGTTTTGGAATTGCCATGGAATAGAAACAATCTATCCTTCATTTAGGTCAACGTATAAGTGCCACATCGAGGCCAGGCTACAAGGAAAATGGGATGCTGTGGCTTACAAACTCTTCCTTTGTTCTCAGCAAAGATATTCCCATAACTGTTGCTTGTGACTAACATTAACTAAAGATGACAGATGATTCCTTCATCACATTTTATCAGTGACCTATAACAAATGTTCACATCTCATACTGTCAAATTTTAACTCACTGAATGAGTGTAAAAGCTTCTCTGGCATACCACTAGTTAAACACCAGTATTTTCCAACTGCTGTACTTCATCTGCACTAGAACCAGAACTTATTGTGAAAATATAGAAGCCAAATCCCATGTCTGTACAACAATAATTATGGTTTTACCTAGTGCCCCTGGGGCATCACCAGGTAATTTCTTAGTAGGCCTAACCTACTGTTCCCATGCAGATCTTGTAAGCATGGGGAGTTTAGCTATGGGTTGTCCTTCATTGGGCTGAATCTCTGGGGATATTTGAGATTTGAGCATCACTACTGTCATCTCTCCAAGGGTTAGAATCCAAAGGGAGAAACAGTAGGGCAGCTTTCAGGGTCAAACTGCTGTTTGACTCAGCTGTCAAACAGTTCTGTGATTCTAAAATGCCAATAGCAGGTAATACAGACTCAGACGTATCTGGATCCTGCAAGCTGAAGTGCAGGATTTTCTATAAGATACTCATCTTTGATGTCAGTGTAAACTAAAGTCTGCTGGCTGAGGTGGATGAATCAATGCGTGTGGACAGTACACTCTGCAGTTGACTGTCCTTACCCCAAATATAGTTTAAAATGTCTTTTTTTTTAATTGACTTCGCAGTACCTGGCTAGTGGTCAAAACGTGATTTTGATTTAAAGTTTTGATAGGTCCTGAACCATCTTTGCAGTTGACTTTATGCATGGCAGTTAGACCATTTTTCTTCAGATATATAGTTGTTTTTTCCATTCAGCTAAGATCTTGTGTATATTTGGATTACCTATGTTTCTTATGAATGCCTGGGCCTCTCAGAGTAACTCCTGATCTCTAACCCAAGAATCGTATCTGGTTTTATTAGC